GGTGGGTGTGGGCTGGAGTAGGTCCAGTTTGATTGCAGGGCTGGCAGAGATGAACCTCGGGCCAGAGATGGTCAGTCTAAGCCCTGTGCTACTGGAAAGCCTGGGCAGGAACCCCCCCACATGCCACTTCTGGACTTTTGAGGGACACTCCTAGAAGATCTTTCAGTGGCAAAGGGATATCCTGGTCCGAGGAAAGCTCCTACCCACCCCATGAAGGGTTTCCCCTCTCTTGCCCAGCCCAGCCTCTCCTTGGGGCACCCGCTCCCACTGTTAGCTCTACCTCCTGCGTGGGGACACCTCCATAGGCCACCATGGATGCAGGGGGGATCAGGGTGTCCATCCTCCCTCATTCTAGCGCCCATACTGCAGGTTCCCATGGGACAATACCCTGCTGCCCAGGTAGGGGGGTCTATGATGAAGGAGTTGGAGAGCAGACGTGACTATTGGGGTGCAGGGGGGCAAATTCCCACCCAAGCACCCCGGCTGCCAAGCCCTGGTCACGAGGAGCTCACCCCATGAGAGGGCTGCGGTGAGGGCTCAAGCCTCATGGTCACTGGTGCTCAGGTGGTCCTCAGTCAGCCCCGTCTCATCGATGTTCTCCAGTGAGTCGGCGTGCTGCACCGAGAGCTCGGTCAGGCTGACACTGGGCAGTGTGTTCTGCTCTGGGTACACCCAGGGCTTGTATCCAGGGTCGTGCTTGCGTTTCCACTCTGGGTACTTCAACCCAGCCTTGTAGATCTTCTTCATCGCCTGTGGGCAGAGAGGGTCCAGCCCATCATGGTGCCTCAAGTCCCCAGTGGGGGTGGAGCCACACTGGTCTGTGAACACAGCTCCCAACTCCCCCTTTGCTTCCTTTTTGGGGGTTCTGGGAGGGGATGGAGATCTGTCTCGGACCACACAGCCCCAGCAGCATGCCCTGCGAGCCCTGGGTCACCCAGCACCCATCATGCCCCTACCTAGGGGACAGCTCATCCCTCACGCCTGTGCATCCCACCACTGTCACGCACCCTGCTTACCTTTGGTGCCACAAACTGGGAGACGCGGTTCACCACCCACTTTGGCAGCGACCCTGCAAGAGCCCAAAGCCCTGTCACTCAGTCAGTCTGGGCCAGCCCCAGAGGAGGCGCCATGAGCCTGCAGTGCCCCATGCCAGACCGTTCCTCTCCAGGGCTGGTGGTACCTGCCCCACGCTGTGCCCTGGGAGGGCACACCCTTCTTCCCTGGGTTGTCCTCACTTCCCAGTGCCCTTTGGACCTCCAGGTGATGGTGGGTCCGCTCTAGGGGTACAATGGGACTCAACCCCGAGAAGGCATGCTATACCCTCCCTTCCTGCTGGCACTCACCGCGAGGGTCCACCTGGGTGAGATAATAGAGGACGCAGGCACCAGCACCATTCGCCTTGATCAGGTAACCTGTCTGCAGGGACACGGCCCTCACAAAATCCTTCCGGGGTGGGTATTTCTGCAGAGAGATGCCGTGCACCTCAGAGCCTGTCCAAGCCGCTGCCCCGCCCTGCCTGTGCCCACTGGCACGGGTCCCCTGCCAAGGCTGGGGCTGGCCAGGGGCTCACCGGGTGCTTGACGCTGTAGTTGATGATCATGTAGTCATTGCCCAGGGGCAGCCAGGAGCGCAGGGTGACAAAATCCCGATTCTTCAGGGGACTCGGGCATTTCCCTGCGGACAGACCCTGTTACATCCCAACCCATTTCCCCCATGGCCCCACACCCACGCACAGGGCTGTGGGGTTGGGGAAGGGGGCCCTGGGGGTCCCTAGGGGCTGGGGACTGCTCACAGGAGTAGTATCCCACATCAGCGTTAACGGTCAGGCGCCCGATGTCGTAGGTCTCGATCATGTTCGAGTCCCATTTTTTGCGGTAGCGGGTGTCGTGCAGCACGTCGTAGAGCGTCTCGGCAGGGACGTCCTTGCAGGCGATGCGAGTCTGTGGGGAGACGGGCAGTTGGGTAGGGGGGAAGCACCCACTCCCAGAGCATGGGGCTGTGCTTATCTGAGGACGAGGACTTTAGGCTGTTCTTGTGTGCAGTGGCGTGTCCCCATGCTGCTATAAAGTCATGGGCATGTGTGCCATGGAGGATGCTCTGCACCCGCTTCAGGACAGGCCAGGCAGAGCCACCAGCCCCCTGCCAGCATGCATCACAGTGCAAAGGCAGGAGGGCAGCAGGGGTAGAAGGATCCCCCTCCCTCAAATGGAGCTGCCTGGTGGTCCCTGCTCTGGTGCCGGGGTACCCTAAGCCCAGCCCT